AAAATAAAAGAATATTTAATTAAAAATATTAATTATCTAAATTAATAATATAAGTATACATAATAATTATCTGTATAATAATATACTAAATCTAATATATTAAATACATAATGATCATCTATGTATTCAGAATAAAATTAATTTTTAGGAAAAAATAATATAAAGTTAATTTGTAATACAGATAGTGTAAAATAAAGATCTAGACTAAAAAAAGATATAATCTAATCAAAATTATTATAATAAAGAAAATTATAATTAAAATTAGTATTTTATAAAACTTTTTTATATATATTTAATTTTTCTTAAAATTTTTTTATATTAATTTTTTTAATTTAAAAAATTAATCTAAAAAAAATAATATTAAAATTTCTTAATAAATAATTTTAAATAAATTTTTTTATTAAATATTAAAGGATATATATATTAATTTTTATATAAATTTAATTAGTTATTATTATATAATTAATTTTAAATTTTTTTATAATTTATTATATAAATATTGATATATAGTTTTAATAAAAAGTAATAATAATTAAATTTATTTTTAAATAGAATTATTTTATATAATAATTTTATTTAAAATTTTATTTATATATAATTAAAATATTATATTTTATGAATATTAATACTTTATTTATATCTATTTTTATTTATTTTTTATTAATAATAATTTAATAATTTGATTTTTTTAAAAATTAATAATTAAATTTTTATTTTTATTTTTATATTTTAAAATATATATAATAATTTTAAATAATATTATAAAAATAATTATAATTATATTATTATTTAATTATTTAAGATAGATTTCTTAATATATTTTTTGAAATAATAAGTATTATTTATAAATATTTTACTTTAATATAATTATAAATAATCCTTAATATTTCAAAAATTATCTTAAAAAAAATAGATATTTATATATTAAATAATATTATTTAGCTAATTAATTTATATTTATAATATAGATTTTAGTAAATAAATATTTTTTATAATTTTTTAATTTAATAATTATTTTATTTTTACTTTCTATTAGAATTATAATAATTTATAAAATTTTAACTTAATTATAATTTATTTATTAAAAAATTTCTAAAATATATAAAATAATATTTTAAATAGTTTTATAACTTTTATTATATTAATTCTTAATTCTGAAAAATAAGAAATCTTTTAATTAATATATTAGAATAATATAAAAATAAAAATATTCAAGTAAATATAATATTATTTTTTGTATTTTAATAATTAATATTTTTAATTATATTATATTAATTTACTTATTAATATTATTTTAAAATTAATAATATTTGAAAAATATTTATTAAGAAAAATAGAACTTGATAAAAATTTTATATTAATAAATTTTAATAAAAAAAAATTGAATAATTAAAAAATAATAAAAAATAAATAAAAAATTTTAATAAAAAAAATTGAATAATTAAAAAATAATAAAAAATAAATAAAAATTATAATATAACTTTATATAAATTATAATAAATATTAAATTAATTAATTAATTAATAATATTATAATAATTTTTAAATAAATTTATTTTAGATATATTAAAATTTATATATTTAATAATATATTAAATTAATTAATTAATTAATAATATTATAATAATTTTTAAATAGATTTATTTTAGATATATTAAAATTTATATATTTAATAGTATATTAGGTTATATTATTATAATTTTTAACATATTATTAGCTAAAAATAAATTTAAATTCTAATAATATTATTATAATAATAATAATAAAATTATTAATTTATAATCTTATAAAATTATATTAATAATTATAAATTATATTTATTATTCTTTAGTTTTTTGTTATTTTATTTTTTATATAATAATAACTAAAAGTTAATGCATCAGAAGCTAAATTCATTAATAAAAATAGTAAAAATCAAAATTTTCTCTCTATATTAAAATTTATAATTTTATTAAGAAATAATTTTATTTTTTATATCAAAATAAAGTTAGAATATAGTTCAAGTAATCGGATCTTGGATAAATATTTTTAAATATTCATGTAAGATGCCATTAATGAATAGCAAGGTTGCTCTTAATTTATAAAAAACAAAATAACATTTATCTGTTTGTTTATTTAATCATATTTAAATACATCTTAAACTGTACTTTGCTTTCTTTTCCCTAGTGAATGTCTTTATGCATGTCTTTTTCGAAGCTTAGGAATTCCTTTCTCTTATGGGTCGTTTTTGCCAAATGTTTCATATGTATAACGAGATCGTAGCTTTATTTAACATCGCGTCAGTTTTATTATTTCCAATTAGCCAGAGTAAAATACCACAATCGAGAGCATATAGTTATTCCAGTTAAATTTGCGAAAGTTTGAGTAATCTTTGTGTTTCCTGATGATGCAAGTAATCTTTTTTACTAATAGAATCATGATGTTTCCTCTCATTCCGTTTAAATATCACAATTTTGCCTGGCACATGAACTAACGCTAACTGACCAACATAATCCTGAACTAACAAATTTACATTTTACACGTCCATATGTAAAAATACAATTTTTGCAACTAGTAATTTTGAATAGAGCAATTTAATTTAATCTCAAAAGTGATTCACTACTGGTTTAACAAACTGAAAAAAACCAGATTATTTATCAAACCCAATTTCTGAACATAATAAAAAGCCAATTATTCAAATCAATGTAGCAGTACTTACAATTTAAGCCTGAGAAACAACATCGCCTCCTTGTGCTGTTTTGAGATTTTTTTTAGCATATTGCGAAAGCATCTTTCAAAATAATCGAAAGAATGCTATCAAGTAATAACATGTAATTGTGCATAGCCATATTTTTGTTAGAAAAGGTTCCTATCTCATATTTGTCTTTGATTGTGATGCTATTTTTATTTTTAAAAGAAAATCTAAAACCAAACAAAAACAGGTCAATTCTTTATCGTCAATAACAAATTCATATTCCGTTGAATCTACGTTTATAAATATTTTCTATTTCCTTATAAGCTATCTTTTATGAATCGAATTGAAGTATAAATAAACATTGAAATTTTTTGATACACCGGAGGCTTTAATAAGCTTTACAGCCACCAACTCCATATTAACAAATGCAAGCAACACTAATTTCATTTATTTATTTATTTTACAGTCTAATTAATAAATTAATCCACAGCTGGCTCTTGAGGCACAAAAGATTCGGCCGGCTTTAGATTAAACCAGCATCGCATGATTTACACATAATACATGTACATGCACATGTATCTTTTTTTGGTGGTTTTGTTGATCATATATTATCATTATTATTTGACATATCTGTCAAATAAAGTAACGATGCAAATAAATTAAAAAAAATCCTGTATGAAGGAGTTAGCATATCGGCTATGGTCTTTCGAAACAAAAGAAGAGGTACCCGATCCTTCACCATTATTACTCCTATAAATTTTAAGGAAAACTTAAGCCTCTCTTATTCATTGGCCACAAGATACCAGATGTGTTCGGTAACGGTAACACGCAACTAAAGCGAAGAAGGAAAAGAGAATCAATTTGAGTACATGTATGTATGTATCGCGCAATGCAGTATGTACAGTCAGTACTTTATTTCTTTCGGGGGCGGGGTTTGGTCTCATTGTCTAATAAATTGATGGGTGTATATCGATAATAATAATTTTCCGGGTATCGATAGTTGGATTTCGTCATTGAACAATGCTCCCCCATATGATAGCTAAGATAAAATAAACCTAAGACTAAAACTCACATCCATTGTATAATGACCGCGAAAGAGTAAGGAATACGCACATACTTGGACCAAATAAATAATGACCAATGGGATACGAGCTTATCAACATGAGAAATCATCATTTCGCGATACCTCTCATGGTATCGTTATCAAAAATTTCCGTATCTTCTGTTTATTTGTTTATCATCACGGAAAAACAGATATTGACAAAAAGAAATCACGAGTTGCGATAACAAAAGAGGCATAAATGCTCAAAGCAATAAATAAATAAGAGATCTTTGATTGCACGATATTGAGGTAAAAAGGTATAGTCTCGGTATTACATTATTAATATGCGGAATGTGAACGGTTGCCTAAAAGAATGGTCACGTTTTATTTAATAACGATAAATAATTAATAATGTGCATGTATATAATTTGCGTTGATCATTGGAAAATTGATTCATACCCAAATAGTGATAGTGATAGATAATTATCGAGCAACTACCTACCCATCCTCTTGAAACTGGACAATTTAAAATAATATGACTTGATCCAGGACCCCGAAAGATCGATTGTCTTTTGCTTTGCATTTACATACATACTTTATAAACGTACAAATAACTGTACAACAACTAATCAACCAATCAAGCACTGAAAATATACATGTATACAGTACATAATATATATTCTATTTTTACCGAATGAATTTATAATCGACAGTGCTATGCAAAAATAAAAAAACAGTGAGCTGAGTTCGGTCTATAAATATAATACGACTCTCTTTAAATCTGACGTCTTTTGATCATTCTCCTCTTTTTTCTAATAGTTTACTGTGATTGCAATAAAATTTTTTTTTCTTCGCTCATCCTCATTTGACATTCTCTGCTCATCTTTCATTTAATTGTGGCGTGATTACTCAAGTTAAATCTTCCATTCGACTAATTCAACAGTAAATACAATAATAAGTGTAAATTTTTTTTTTCAAAACAAAGCCATTTTCATCCACCACGCATCACACAAGAAACAGCAGCGATCCAAGATCTTGGAAGATAATAATTTTTCGATATAAGGAATCTACGCAAAGACATCTAGACACCGCCCACAAAACAAATAACGGAACTGGATCCTAGATTAATTTTCATTTCTTTTCGTGCATTTAAAATCCGCACAGAAAAGATTAGAAACATAAGGTCAAATTTGACTTTATTATCAAATTTTTGTATATCGACCGACACGAGAATAGAACATATCCTTTGACGACACATACTTTCAACAACAATTTTCAACCGAAAATGCTTTCATTCTTTTCACAGTTCTCTTTTCTCGCTGAACGCGAATATGACAAATATACGAGATCAACAACATCCAATGCTACAACACCGTCTTCATCATCTTCGGATCCAGCGATAAATCTAACCGGAAAAGCTTCATCACCGCATCTTTATCGTCTACCAACATTCTCATATTCACCTCGGAGAATAAAACGGCAACAAACAAGACAGAATGAAAGAAGCGGAAGAACAACAATCGCGTCATGTTCGTTTAGCAGCTCCTTGACAAATTTCTCAATTTCCAGCAGTAGTAATTCGTCGGAAGCTGACGAACCATTATCCTCTTCAATATATTATGATGAAGAAAAATTAATAAGTAGTACGCCTACAACCTCAATCTTCATCACACATAATAATAATAATAATAATCATAATAGCAACAATCCATTAGAGTATGTGAGTTTCCCGAGTTTGGAGGAAAGTCACCCTGACATTAAACGAAAAAGTATTTACGAATTGGAGATGGAAAGTTATGATGAGATGCTTGTTGGTGGCATCAGAATTTAATTACATAAATACATACATCAACATACAATGTCATAAATTTTATTATGAACATTATCTACTCGCTCGCTCGCTCTTTCCTTCACCATATAATATATATATATATATAGACTTAATATTAAAACTGCGCGCAGGTCCCGCAAATATTACTACTATCACTATAACAATCACCACCACCACTATTATTACTATATAGATAGATTCTCTTATTATAAATACAACAAATACAACTCATCCCAATTACGCAGGGAAAATGTTTCGCGTCATTTCATTGCGCGCGTGATACCTTCCTTGTTTTCGAATAACACACTGTACAGAAAATTATAATTAATATTATATTTATACATACATTTTACACAGACATCAAAAAGTTTCCATATCGATATCAATATCATTTTTAGTTTTGCCAGATTTGGGAATTCTTAGTCTGTGGGACTAAAACACACCATATATGGTATTGGTTTTAGACCTTTGTCAGAATAAAAATAATAAGTTGCAAAGAACAAAATTTTTTTTTGTGATAATTGGTTCATAATGTTCGAGTGTTTGACTCTTTGTTGGACCCCATAATAAATTTGTGAGACTTGGCAATATCAAATATGAAGACTGCACACAGTTCCCATGCGCATCGATTTTGATTCGTTATCATTCTTATCCTCTATTAATGTATCACAAAATTTATCTACGAGTATAAAAATGACAAGTCAAATTCAAAGAAAGGAATCTGTGTTTGTGACATCACATGGATTCGTAATTATGCCCGTGTTGCATTTAACGCTAAATTCTTCTTTTCAACATGAGAATTTAAGTTATATATGAATTATAGCAATAATTGCTGTCGTTATTACATATGGGAACGTTTGGTTAAAATAAAATAACTTTCTATAAGAAATCTATTTAGGTTGGATCGATTAATAGCTTCTACTTCTGATACTGCACAAGCACGTATTCTATCAATAGTCTCTTTTTCAATACAAGCTTTTATTATTGGAAAATAGTAAAGACGAGCGTTTGTCAGATGACATATGAAAATATCATGACAGAGGATCTTTGTTCTAAAAGTCAGCGAGAGATGAGGCAATTCAAGAACTGATGGATATTGAACAGATTTCATCTGAGTAATTTAGAAAACCAAAATGTGTTGAAGAAAGTGAATCCTGCAAAAATGTTTGTATTACATATTTGAAAAAACATAGGTTTTGAGTGAGATATAAAAAAATTTAAGAGAAAGTATTGTCGAATATTTACGACTTTTCGTTCGATAATTTTTATGAAATAATAAAGAGCGAGTAAACTACTTTATATATTATGAATTGAAATAAATTGAATATTATGAAAGTGTGGAATTTCAAAAGATTCTAATAAACTTCTTTTGATACGAAATTGGGAACTTGTGCCAAATACAAAACGCCTGAAATACTACCATGAACTAATCGTAAAAAATATTAAATTTGAATAAAAAAAGTTCTATGCAATACATTGCATGATAAATTTAGCTCATTAAATTATATTATGCGATTTGGAGGCAAAATTAATTATATAACGAGGCAATATACCGTATGTGTCCTTTTTCTGTAATATAATTTTGACAAAAGAAACTTATTTAGAAATGTTATCAAATTTTATAAAGTCCCAATTTACAAATTTAACGGATTTATATGAAATGTTGAAGAAATAGGAAGGATATTTCAGAAGGAAGAATTTTATAATGAATATTGAGCTAAGTCGATATCAAACCTTAAGGTTTTAACACTCGTTTCCTGTATTCATCGTTATTGTAATTTATCATTATCTAATTTTCTTTATATTAAATCAAAATTTTCAGTACATGTATACTTGGAACTTCAAGTTTATTCTTTCAAGATTTTATTTTAGTCAAAGATTAAGAATATTGCTTTCAATATCAAAAAAGTGAAGTGTAGAAATTAAATTTAATTTAATTTTATTAGTAAAATCACAACGCAACGTAATTTTAGTTATATATTAATAACCTGTGAAATTTCTTCAAGGATGCGAAAAACTGCCATAATTTCTCAAAATATATCGATATACAGATTTACTATGCTACAAAAAGTCATCAGAGAATCACGGTACTGAGGAATTTTTGATCAATATAAAGTAAATCCACTACAGCGTTATCGTTATATAACGAAAATATATTGATTCGCTAAGAAATTTTACTTGATAATTAAATGAGTAGTTTAGAAATTTTTTCTTTTTCCCAATCGATTTATCCATAGATATGATAAAGAAATAAAGACTAAATCATTGCTAACCGATTGCAAAATATAATCACTAGTCGAAAAGGTTGAAGGTTAAATAATATCGGATATCGATATCTATATTAGAAAATGCCGATTCTTCGATCCTAGAGGGCCGATTTTTGTAGCGGCATTACATTTATCCATTTACCGCTACGGAAGTCAATCAAATTAAATTAAAATATACCGGGACTAGCACATGAAACGGAACACGGAACGCGGAACAAAATGACGAGATTCAAATGTTGAAGAATTATTCGTTTCGTAAGTGGAATATATTACCAGTTATTAATTTTTATTTTATATTTCTCCGTTAATTATGACCGATTTGTATAACTATCAAAGTTACTTTTGAGGAAAAATTAGCAGCTGCTAAATAAATCACGCATTGCATCTAAGGCTACCAGTTTGTATCGAATCGACCAACCTATCGACCCAAACAACTAGAATTCACCCTCGTCGGACCAAATTATTAGTCGCTTGTCTAATCTCGTTGTTTTTCCCCCATGCAAAGACGAACGTTTTCGTATATACTTTTGGTAATTACATGGTGCGCTTAATAAGCCATTTTCTCGGATATATGCCATAAGCTTTGTACCGATAAATTGATTTGGAAAGAATGCGTTTTATTTTATCGTTTCTTTTGGCATATTCGTTGGGCGGAACTTACATTAACTTGTTCGGATGCTGGATTTCCCGGAATGATTATTCTTCTGAAACGCGTGTATTCGAACGCGTTTGGATATTGAAATTCGAGGCATTGGGGGTAAAAATTGCTATAGTTGTGTGAAATAGGGAAATTTAAACTTAAAGCATTTATACTTTACTTTTAGACCTTTGGTCATAATTAAAAAACGTTAATAAAAGATGCATAAAATCTACTTACTTTTGATAATTCTTATGGTGAAATATTCGAAACTCGTCATTTTTTTCATATTTCATTTCACGGTGAGCTTCTATAAAACTGAATAGTAATTGAGAACTTGATCTTGCAAGGCTTGAAATATAGTCCCAGTGAAAATAACGGCAGCGAAATTTTTTAATTGTAATAACTCTGAGCTTTTTATATCCTCAGAAAATCAAGTCTTCTGTTTCTATGTCAATTTCTTTTGAATTATTTATTAAGTTCATCTCTATTTTTGTTTTTCTAATCAATACATATAATAATCCAATATTTTGAGCTGAAATTTTTTTCTTAATATATAAAGACCTGTTGACATATTAAAATTTGTGCAATCACAAAGCTAAAACAGGTTAAAATGATAAATCTTAATATAATTAAAATATATATTATAATTATTAAATATTGAAAGATCAATGATATCAAAATTATTATAATTAAATCTTCTTATAATTATTCTCTTACATTCTCACTATAATTATTAACTAATCAGAAGTTATCAATTAACTATAAAAAATCATAATTATCTTTTTAATTCTAATATTATAATTAGAAAATATTAATTAAAATTATATAATATTAAATTTTATTGCTTTTATAATTATATTTTTCTTTATTATCAATTTTGCTTTTTCAAGTATGATAACTATAGAGAAATTTAATTATATCTTAAATTATTCTTATTTTATAAATAATATTACTTGATATTAAAATATTTATCTAAAGATAATTACTATTATTTTTTAATTTTAATATATTGAATTATAATTTCTAATTTTTTTATAATATTAATATTAATAAAAATATTTAATTATAGCTTTTTCTTAATAAAAAAAATTAAGAGCTTATAAAAAGATAATATTTATAATAGATAATATTATAATAAGAGATAATAATAATATAAATTTAGCTTTTTTGATAAAAAAAAATTAATTATTTAAGATAAAATCTTCTTATTTAATTTAAAAATTTCTTGAATATTATTATTGATATATAAGAATTCTAATAAAATAAATAAATATTTATATAAAAAATAAATTCTATATTAATTTCTTTATTTATTAAATTAATAATATAAATCTAATTAATAATTTTATATAATTTATTTTTTATATTACATTCTTATTACTTATTATTTTGATATTGATTTCTTGAATTAATTAATAAATAAAAAAAAAGAATATTAATAATAAACAAGAATATTTATAGAGATATTTATTTAAATATTAATAATTATATAAATAATATATAAAATATAAAATTAATCAAAATATTATTAATTTTTAATAAAAAAATTTTAAGTAATAATAAATATAAAATAAATATAAAAAATAATATCTTAAATAATTTCAAAAAGTTCAATTTGATTTTAAATAAATATTTTTTATATTAATATTTAAAAAAATTAATATATAATAAAATTAATATTTAGCTTATAGATTATTATTCTATTATATATTAATTATATATAACTTATTATATAATAATTATTTTACTTTTATCAAGATAAATTATATAATATTATAAATTATTTAGTTATAAAGATATTCTTAGTAAAAATTCTTTTTTATTCTTGTTTTATTAATATAGCTAGCATATTATTCTTTTTATTTATAATTATTTATTTTTATATTAATTTATTTATTAATAAATATTTTTTGAAAATATTACTATTTAAATAATTATATATTATTAATTATTATTAATTTTATATAATTATAATTTAATATTATCTCTATTTTATATTTTTAATAATTATAATAATTATAATTATAATAAAGTTTAAGTTTATAAGATTATTTTATTAATTATTATAAATAAGATAAAATATAATATAAATA